AAGATCAGATTTTTTTGAAGGGAACCTCCCCATTCAGTTGAGGGAATGCATACCAGAAAGAAAGAGGACAGCATGTACCAGCTGGGGTACAATGATTGGTTGAGGTCACAGAGCACTGTGCCATCCAAGAATCAGCAATCTGTTCTGGTGGTAACAATCAACACATCTGATGGGGTTTTCATAAATCACTAGGAAGAACATGATTGGCCCTACCCATAGACAAATTTTCCTGTCCGAGGCAGAGCAAAGTTTCCCATTGCTATCTCTATTGCCCACCAACGGGGTGATGAACACCAAGGCCAACATGGCAATTTTGGATTAGCAGAGTGGCTCAGACATCCAGAAATCGCTCCCTGATTGTAAATTAATTTGGTGGGACGTGAGGTGGTGAATGACCTCTCGCAGATCTGCGCAAAGTCCCTGCTATGTGTCTTCCCCCCTTTTCCGCTGCTCCCCAGGACAATACAAGAGATAGGAACAAGAGCGCAGTAGTGATATTGTTTATGCCTTTCTGACTGAAGAGGCTATGACTCCCAGGCCTGATTAATGTAGCACTGGGTCTTCAGAGGCCGTCTCTGTTTCACAGAAGAGATCTGCTATTGCTCTCGTGGACCCCAAAAGAAAGGTCAACAAATAGAAATTATTCTGCTGGCTGGTGCAAAGCCCATAGTTCAAACAACATGTTGCACCAGTGAAACATAGCCTTGAGTTCTGCCATGAGGGTCTTGTTGTGGGTGTATAAGAGTATCCAAGCAAAAAAGGTCAAGTTTCAGTAGTATGGTGTTCTCAGCATGTTCAAGAAGAGGATGTTTTGTACAAATCTCAATAATTTAAATGCTTCCTTAGCATGTCAGTCCTTATTCCACTCCCACACTGTCATAAAATGCAACAGTGGAACCTCATTCTGCTCCCTGCAGGACTATCCAGGTTGGGTTCCTCCAGAAAGTCTCATTCTATTTCTATCCATCCAATGGCTACTATCGCCAATCAGATGATTTTTTTTTTAAGTTGTGAACTTTCTCTAAGGAGACCATGTCGTGTATGTTTAATTCACACAGGTAGTCCTCACAATTGTCATAGCATTCATTCCCTAATTAATTCAAGACCTATTCAGTTAAGCATCAAAACCCAGTCCTCAGTTGCACTGACAACCTGAGGTGGAGTAGTCATGTCTCCTGTATTGACATCTGCTAGACAACTGCATGGCCATCAGTATTTAAATTCACTAAATTCTGCATATTGATCATCCAATATTAGACAGTCTTTTTGGTGCAGACATCGTCTTAGCACACCTTAGTGTCCAGGGGAATATGGAAAATATACATAATAACCCTCATTTTGGATATTCATATTTAAAGCATGATCCTGCTTTCCAACCTGGAGGCACACGTCAGGACAAAATAAATAAAGTTCAAATGCAAAAAACAAACAAACCATACACCCAAACTATAATGTTGTTATATGGGTAAAGGCCACACAACATCTTGAGAATAATAAAAGCAGTCCAGTCAAGTTAGAGATCACATTCAATAGCAACTTTGTTTATATATGCATGGTGTTCACTTATTTAAAGGGCATATATAAAAATAACCAACCAGAAAGAAAAATTTAAGTATGGGTAGGGATGAAATTGTACAGATTCCAAAGAGAGAGAGAGAGAGAAAATGAGTCCTTGCAATGATAGGGGGTGGAGGAGCACATGTTGTAGTTCATGATTTATATTACAATAGTGTCCAAGGTCCCCATTGTGCTAGGCACTGTACAAACACGTAGTGAAAAATAATCACTGCCTCAAAGAGCTTACAGTCTAAATAAGCAAGTCAAAGGATGGGAGGGGAAGGAAAGACAAAATGTGACTGGCCTAATGTCACAGATCAGTTCAGTGGAAGAACGAGGAATAAAATTACTGTTCAATGGCTTGCTGCTTTTCCTTTGGAGTCACACCCCAGAATCACACCCACAAAAACTAGAGATGTTTTTTTGACTTAAAAAAAGATGTTAAAATTCAGGCCCTAAATCAGTTCCACTGAATCTTAAAGCCCTTAGCAGTGTTGGTTGAGGTCACAAGTAGAGACCTCTTCAAGGGTGAGTGTTTTACTATTGGCGGCAGGCAAGACTCCAGAAGTGGGATATGTTCTCGTTCAGTTTGTCAAACCCTGTGTTTTTGGAGATTTCTGTGCCGTAACATAGGAAAAGGAAGTTTGTCTTAATCTTTGGAAGTCCCTGGCCAGTTTGTGCTGTCTTGGAATGTCAGGATTCAAATGCAGAGTCTGAGCTGTGCTAAGAGCTGGCTAGCTCTGAGCTAGCTGCAGCGCTGCTCGGCAGCACTGAGGTGCATTGACAACGTTTTGTTAGTGGCCGAGAACTGGAAGAGGGGGAGTGCTGTTGCTCATGCTGTGCAGGGAGCCCAAGATTGAAATGGCAGGGTGTGTGCTCTTGGTGAAGACTGAGGTGCATTGGCAGGGCTGCGTTTTATATGGTGCTTTAGGATATAGGCCCAGATTTCCTCTTGCAATCTGGTCCTTGTACTCTTCTCTGGCAGCAAAAGAGGCTGGAAATTGGTGCTATTTTCCCAGCTGATAATTCCCCCCAGTGTAGAGGAATCCTTAGCTTGCAGGAGAGCAAGCATGGTTGGCGCTTACACTCCTAGGCACAGTGTGGGGCTAAGAGCAGGAGGAGGTGAGGCCAGTGCTGGTGCATTCCAGCTAGTCTCAGATAGTCCCTTGGGGCCTGTTACCAGCCCTGGGCTGGGGTTAGCCTGGAGCTGGCCTGAGAATCAGGAAGATGTAACTGGCTCCTTGGAGGCCCTCCTCTCCCCCCTGCATTTCACAGAAAGTGGGCACAGAAGAGAGAGAGGCCCATAGTCTCTGCATACAAATGATCAGGCCCACTGAATCAATATGGAAGACTTCACTTTGTGAGAAACCACCTCTCCAATAGATTTTGTTGGTGGCCCATTTGCTAGATTCTCCATGTGGCTCTAATGGCTACTGGAAATCCAGGTGCTAGTAAGGAGACTACATGGCTGTTCCTGTCTTCTAAACCGAGTCTAGCCCCTGAAAACCAAGTAAGCCAGCCAAACTGCTCCACACTCGATGGCTGCAGAAGCAAGTGCACGAAGCGCAGCAGCACAATGACGAAATGTAAAGAAGGGCTCATCAGAATGTGGTTGGAACATTTCCGATGTCAACAGCCCATGCTTGTGCTGTCCTCTGAAGTGCAAAGAACATTCTACTTCTACAGAATGACCAGCACACATGCTGCAAGAATATAAGTGTAGAGGGTTGTGGTTACGATACTAAATTTGAAATGATTTTTCCACTGTACCCTCCAATTTTCAATTGCATGTAACTTCCCCACCCACCCACCCACCCACGTCAAATTACTTTTTGGGCTAAAATTTCTCTCACACAGTCTCAATTCATAGGGGAACCTTTGTGTGGAGAAGTTTCATATGTTAGTTCATCTGAAGGCTGAAAGAATTGGGTTTGTTTAGTTTGGAAAAGAGAAGACTGAGAGGGGACATGATAGCAGTTTTCAGGTATCTAAAAGGGTGTCATAAAGAGGAGGGAGAAAACTTGTTCACCTTAGCCTCTGAGGATAGAACAAGAAGCAATGGGCTTAAACTGCAGCAAGGGAGGTCTAGGTTGGACATTAGGAAAAAGTTCCTAACTGTCAGGGTGGTTAAACACTGGAATAAATTGCCTAGGGAGGTTGTGGAATCTCCATCTCTGGAGATATTTAAGAGTAGGTTAGATAAATGTCTATCAGGGATGGTCTAGACAGTATTTGGTCCTGCCATGCGGGCAGGGGACTGGACTCGATGACCTCTCGAGGTCCCTTCCAGTCCTAGAATCTATGAATCTATCTCTTTTTGAGTTTTCCAAATGTGTGGAGGGGGATGGAGCAGGTGTTGAGGAATTCAGGAAAGTATCCAATGATGTAGTTATCAAATGAAGGTTTTTCCTTACTGGGAAAGAATTGTTTTTGGCTAGAAATTTAACCAGAAGTCTCTGCCTCTAAGAACAGCCGGGCTGCCTGTCTGCTGAACTAAGGGAGAAGCTGGTTTTCCCTGTCAGCCGTAGTTCTATTTGAGGTCTGTAAGCAAAAATGTGATGTCTGACCAACTCCTTTTCCTTGGGAGGGTGATCAGTGCTTGGTACATTCCAGGTCCTTTGCTTTGCTGTGTGTCCATTCTGGGCCTCTCCAGCCACCTGGCAGCATTGGGGGAGGGAGGCCACAGCCTCCACTGAGCCTCTGACCTTTTGTGGCCTACTTATCACCCACTCTTGGTGCTGCTGCTGCCTCCAGGGTCAGGGTAAGATTCTCTCTCAAAGATGCCAGCCAATAGATGTCTCAACTAATAGCCCCATTCAGGTAATTTTAAATAAAATGAGGTTTTATTGGCAACTGTACAGAAATGGTGCGGGGGAGGGGAGATTATCTGCTTCCTTTGTGCTGTTACGGTGTAAGGTTTTGGTAATACAGTGATGAATCAGATCTAGGGTTGCCAACTGTCTAATCACACAAACCCAAACACCCTTGACCCGAGGCCCCGCCCCTTCTCCGAGGCCCTGCCCCCACTCACTCCATCCCCCCTCCCTCCGTTGTTCGCTCTCTCCCACCCTCACTCACTTTCATCGGACTGGGGTAGGGGGTTGGGGTGCGGGCTCTGGGCTGGGGGGGTGGGGTTGAGGGGATCGGAGTGTGGGCAGAGGCTCCAGGCTGAGCCTGGGGCAGAGGGTTGGGCTGCAGGAGGGGTTGTGGGCTCTGCGAGGGGGCTCAGGTGCAGGAAGGGGCTCAGGACTGGGTCAGGGGCTTGGGGTGCAGGCTCTGGCCAGGCGGTGCTGCCAGACTTTTAGCAGCCTAAAATCTCCCGGATTGGCTTAAGTAGCCCCTGGGAGATTGAGCCCAATTCCAGAAGACTTCCAGCCAATCCGGGAGGGTGGCAACCTTAATCAGGTCCTAAATCTCAGGGCATCGAAGCTGGTGTGATCGCCATGTCGAGGTGAGTCAGGTGTAAGGAGGTGTCAGTTACACCATCTTAAAGAAGATGTAAATTACACCAGTTTAAATTCCCTCTAATTTCTTAGTTCACCTCTGAATTCAGCCTGTTAAGCATGCTTTTATGAGCATGAAGCCGGAGATGAGAAATGGTCCTCCCCAAGCAGTGAAGAGACTCACCTTCCTTTCTTTTCAGTCTGTGAATACAGAAAGCGGCAAAATGAGAGAAGAGTGGGAAAATCTTCAGTTAAGGCCTGTGGCCTGAAAACTTTCAGGACAGAACAACAAATCAGTCCTGCCATTGTCCTCTAACCCTGAGAAGTGCTGGAGACAGGGAAGATCTAGAACTACCTGAGACACTGTGGGAGCTCACTTGTACTCTCTATCTCTCTGAAACAGTAATAATTAACTGGCAAAGACATGAGGTGCTTGAATAGCAAAAGCACATCTAGACAAGCGGCCTGCATGGCCATGTCATTCAGCCATTCTGCACTACAGTAGAATACAGCTGAATGACATGGGCATGCAGGCAGCAGACTACAGTTGAAACTCCTTGGCTGTTTTGTTTTCTATGCCAGGGGTTCTCAACCTTTTTCTTTCGGAGGCCCCCCCAACACGATAGAAAGACTCCATGGTCCACCTGTGCCACAACAACTGTTTTTCTGCATATAAAAGCCAGGGCCGGCATTAGGGGGTAGCAAGCAGGGCAGTTGCCTAGGGCTCCATGCCATAGGGGTCCCCACAAAGCTACATTGCTCAGGCTTCAGCTTCAGTCCCAGGTGACTGGGCTCAGGGCCTCGGGCTTCAACCCCATGTGGTGGGGCTTCGGCTTTCTGCCCTGAGCCCCAGCGAGTCTAATGCTGGCCCTGCTTGGCGGACCCCCTGAAGCCCCCTTAAGGGGGCCCCGGATCCCTGACTGAGAACCACTGTTCTATGCAAAGCCCCAATCAAATACCAGTACATAACTGTACTGATAGCAATACTATTGCTTGTAGGAGCAAGGATAGCCTTACAGAGTGTGTGGCCTCAAGCAGAGATGATTGGGGGGAGGGGTAGCTCAGTGGTTTGAGCATTGGCCTGCTAAACCCAGGGGTGTGAGTTCAATCCTTGAGGGGGCCACCTAGGGATCTGGGGCACAAATCAGTACTTGGTCCTGCTAGTGAAGGTAGGGGGCTGGACTCAATGACCCTTTGGGGTCCCTTCCAGTTCTATGAGATAGGTATATCTCTGTATATTTATGTCAGATGGCCACCTCAAAACACCAAGCCTCCATTCCCACTATGCTATTTTCAGGGGGACATTGGATTGAGAGTTGCCTCCCCCTTCAGCCCAGCTGCAGCAGGGAAGAGGAAGAGGCTACATCTTCCTGAGTCTATGGGAGATCTTCCTGAAGGGCAGGGCAGTGACTTGCTGGCTTCAGTTTAAGACCAGCCTTTTGTGTGATAGGAATAACTGGAGCGAAGCAATAGCAATACACATGATCGGTGTTAGCACTCAGTGTCTGAAGGAACTCACTGATTCCTTGTAAGGTGAAAACTTTTTGCTTGGTAGGTTAAGTTCCTGGTGACATGGAACTTCATGGTGATCTTTCAAAAGTAATTATTCATACAAGGGGATGAAGAAGAGGCTTTGCCCAAATCAGTTATCACAGGATTCCCGTAAGCCACTTATCAGAGTTTGAGGTCAGGAAGCCTAAATAAGGGCACTTTTGTTAATGAGTGAAGTGGTGTTTGAGTCACCTGCAGTTACAAGTAACCACTACCTGTTGTTGCTGTAAAGCGTTCTCTGTGTTGTCTTTTCTGAAACACGCTCTCCATGGCTCTGTGGTTTGTGTTGCGTCAAGAATGAGTTGGCTCACCCCACCCGCCCCAAAGCTCTTTCCCTTTCCCCCCAACTCGAGCTGTGGTGTTTTCACAGCTGCAGTTCTGCAGCCCTGCCAGTCTCCAGAGCAAGCAGCTGCTTTTTTCGTGATTCTCTGGTAGCATGGGTTATCCTCTCCTTCTGGGACAGCTGCTGTGGCATATGGCTCCTCTCCTGCATGTTTCAGGTATAGTTCTAGGAGTTTGCTAGCTTATTATGATTTCTTATAAGTTACTGCAGAGACTTGTGAGTCAGGGATCCTGAGTTCTATTCCTAATTCTACCATGCATTTGCTGGGTGACATTGGGCAAGTGAGTTTTGACCTCTCTGTGCTTCATTGGATGCTGGTGGCATCTGAAATTGAGTCAGGAAGACAGAGTTAATCAGGAATAGCTATTCTGAAATAACTTCCATGTAGATAAACCCTGATTCACTTAGATGCTTTGGAAAATTTAACTCACAGTCCATAGATCTGAGTTATTTGTAGTTTTGTTGGCAGTCTTACCATTTTTTTGGATTTGGGTCCCTCTTCTTTTTTCCATCAGCAGCTTTCTTTTTAGTCTTGCTGATTATCGGAATCACATTAAAACCGCACAGCTACCTTGTTAGCTCTGTCCCAGCCATCTGGTAATATAATTAATGCTAATCGACACGGGCTTATGGAAAATAGATCTTGTCAAACGAACTGGATATCTTTTTCTGATGAGATTACAAATTTGGTTGATAAAGCTAATAGTATTGATGTAATATACTTAAGACTGCTATAAGGCATATGACTTGATACTGCATGACACTTTGATTAAAAAACTAGAATGATACAAAATCAACATGGCATACACTAAATGGATTAGAAACTGGGTAACAGAGAGACCTTAAAATGTAATTTTAGAAGATGTGTGTTGTTGTTTTTTGGTTTAGTGGGGTACTGCAGGTATAGGTTCTTGGCCCTCTGCTATTTAACATTTTTATCAAAGATCTGAAGTAAACATAAAATCATTACTGGTAAAGTTTGCAGATGACAGAGATTGGGGGAATGGTATTTAATGAAGAGGACAGGTCATTGATACAGAGCAATCTAGATTGTTTGGTAAACTGAACTCAAGCAAACAAGATGCATTTCAGTACAGCTGAATGCAGGTCATACTTAACTTTTCTGTTGTTGTTTATTAGTAGTACCTTTCACCCAAAGGTCTTAGAGCGGGATGAAAATTTTTACGCAAAACTTTTTTTGGGGGGGAGGGGAGGGGGCAAAAAATGTACATTTGGGCTGATCAATACAATTAATGAATTCAGATCAGTTTTGGACAATTGTGTTGGTTCTTTTAAAAATCAGAAATGCTGAAATGGTTCATTTTGGCATTTCCAAAACAAAATATCTTTCAAAATAAAAAGTCAAAATGTTTTTATTTTGGAATTTTTGGAACACTTTTGTTTTGGGTTGACCCAAAGAGAATTTTTGTTTTTCAGACCTGCCCCTGAACTGAATATTCAGTTATTTGGACATCTCTAGTATCAAAGCACTTTACACATTGATGATTTAAACCTTGCAGTAACTCAGAGATGTATTACTGTCCTTGGTTTACATATGGGGAAACTGAGGCATGAGGCAGTTAAGTGATTTACCTGAAGCCACACAGGGAGTCAGTAGTAGAGCTAGGAACAGAGTCCAGGAGCCATCTCTTGGTTATTTTGCTCTGGCCACAATGCCTGCACCAATCTAAATGAATGAGTGACTGCACAACTAGATTTTGCATCTGTTTCCAGTTTTTAAGTCCAGTGAAATTGTGAGGACAGGAAGGAATTTTGGGTGTGTGTGTGGGGGGGAGAGTTAGTACTGGGAACATAAACTAGTGGTATGAATCAACTGTTGGGTTTTTTTTTTTTAATCAAACTTACCTGTACACTCAAGAGACTTTCATCCCATAGAAGTTGCCCTAGCAGATCAAACTATGGATCATCTAAGTCAGTATCATTTCACCAGCAGGATTCTGTACATAGTGCTTCAAAGATAAGAGTAAACTGCCCACAATCTCCCCCCACCCCCCAAAAAACCAAACAGTCAACCAAATAAATAAACAAAAACCCAATTCTCCAAAAAACTGTTGTTGATATTTCCAAACCTTCTGAAACCAAATATTTCAAATCTGGCTTTTCCCAAATTCCAGGCCAAAGGAGGTTTGATAATTTAAATGAGTTTGAGATAAGAACCTGGACATTTGAGTGCTAATCTGAAATTTTTGTGATGCTTCTTTATGGCAGTTGCATACTGCTATATAAGCGTATCTCCGTCTTCCCTGACTGGAAGAAAATCCTTCCTCAGCAATTTGGTCTTCTATTATCACTCAATCCTGGGCTTCCATACATTGCTCCACCAACAGATCTGAGCCCTCCTCTTCTGGGACCATCTTCCCTTAGAATAAGAGAAGAATGTGACGTTGCACTCCATAGGTTTTATGGAAATATGCTTATGAGTGTAAATATGATGTAACTGGAATATGCTTTATGCAAAAGGTCTCTTGTAAGGTATCATAACAAAGGTTATAAACTACTGAACATATTCCTCCTATTTGTATGCATGTATTATTCTTGTATCTGAAGCTAGAAATATGAAGTATAACTCTGAGGTCCTATTGTAATTATGAAAAGTGTGGGCCATTAATGGTGGTTTAAAATCTTGATGGCTCCCATTGACTAGGACAATTGGTTGTAAATAGTTTATTTACTTGCAAACCTTCTTGTGTACATGTGGGCCAACCCAGGAAGAATGGAGACTAGGGGTCTTACAGTGACATGACCATGTCACATGATACTGGAATCCATCTTAATCCTTGTACTTTTCCATTGATGAGGTAGGGGTGGGGATAAGCACAGACAAAAGATTCCTGCCTTGTGCCAGAGCTATAAAAGGGGGTGGAGCAGGACAAAAGGGGCTGCCAGTCATGAGAAAACCCCTGCTTACCACCTGAGATGTCTGCTGGAACTAACAAGGACTGTACCGGGGAAAGGATTGGGCCCAGACTAGGAAGGAGTCTAGTCTGTGAAAGAAGCTTATTGGAACATCTTTGAGGGTGAGATATTGCCTGTAATCAGTTTCTTAATGTATTAGGCTTAGATGTGCGTGTTTTTGCTTTATTTTGCTTTGTGGCTTACTTTGTTCTGGCTGTTATTACTTTAAAGAACTTAAATCCTACTTTTTATACTTAATAAAATCACTTTTGTTTATTAATAAACCCAGAGTAAGTGATTAATACCTGGGGGTAGCAAACAGCTGTGCATATCTCTGTATCAGTGATACAGAGGGTGAACAATTTATGAATTTACCCTGTATAAGCTTTATACAGAGTAAAATGGATTTATTTGGGGGTTTGGATCCCATTGGAAGTTGGGTGTCTGGGTGCTGGAGACAAGTAACCTGCTGAGCTGTTTTTAGTTAAAGTCTGCAGCTTTGGGGACGTGGGCCAGACCCTGGGTCTGTGTTGCAGCAGGCTAGCGTGTCTGGCTCAACAAGGCAGGGTTCTGGAATCCCAAGCTGGCAGGGAAAACGGGCTCAGAGGTAACTTCAGCACATCAGGTGACAATCCCAAGGGGATCTCTGTGACCGAACCCGTCACAAAGAATTCCCTTCCTTCTCAAATATAGTTCTTTCCTGTTTGGTTATTGCTTGTTTTATCTGAGTTCAATGACTGCAGTGGAGTAGGAATTTAGGTAATCAAATGAACTTTCTCTCTCACAAGCTGTGGGGAAGCCCTACACTGCATCACTCTCATGACTACGCTTTGGTTTGCTGTCTTCCAGGGGACACAACTGAGAAAATTCTAACAGCTGGGAATGTTTCTGCAGTTGAAAACAGCAACATCACCCTGCGGTGTTCTCTCTCTTTGACCAATGCCATTGTGTCGCAGGTGAACTGGAACAGGTGTAACAAGGTCATGCTTGCAGTTTACCTAAGCAAAGATAAAGCCATGGTCCAGCCGGCATTCACTGAGAAGGTATCGCTGGCAGCAGAGTATGGGATAACAATCCACTTATTAGGAGTCAATGACACTGGGGATTACTGCTGTGAATTTCACACCTTCCCTTATGGGATATATGAAGGGAGAATGTTCCTGGAACTGACAGGTGAGCCAACAAAACTACAGATTACTCAGATCTATGGAGTGCGGGTAAAATTTTCCAAAGCACCTAAGTGACTCAGGGTTTGTCTACATGGGAGTTATTTCAGAATAGCAATTCCTGATTAACTCCATGTTAATCAGAGGGAATAAGGCACTTTTTGGAAGCCGATTAAGCTAATTTGTAATAAAATACTCTTATTCCAGAATAAGGGCTTGTCTACACTGGCAACGTTAAAGCGCTTTAACGTGGCTTGTGTCATCGCGGCACAGCACTCCCAGCGCTCTAAAAAACTCACCTCCACAAGGGGCGTAGCTCCCAGTGCTGCGAGTGCGGATCCTAGCGCTGTAGCACTGTCTACACTGGCACTTTGCAGCACTGAAACTTGCAGCGCTTGGGGGTGTTTTTTCACACCTCTGAGCGAGAAAGTTGCAGCACTGTAAAGTGCCAGTGTAGACTACCCCTAATAGTATCCACACATGGAGTTAATCAGGAATAGCGAAACTGTTTTAATTCACACCCTATCTTATTCTGGATTAAATTTGTGTATGTAGACAAGCCTGTAGGAGAAGAGCTGCATGAATAACTGATTTTTGCAGTTTGCGGGCTGTACTGAAAAACCAAAAAGTCGAAAATTAATTCATTTCAGGTAGAATGAAACTTTTTGATTGACTGAAAATGATTGTGAGGTTTGTTAACCTTTAAAACAATAAAATTGAAGTAAATTTTGAAACCAAAAAAGCTTCAAATAAAAAATTGAAACGTTTTGTCTTGACATTTCAAAATGAATTTTTTTAATTGATACCATTTTTGAACATGACTTCTTGAAATGTTTCAGTTGACTCAAATCTACATTTTTCGGTGAAAAAAAGTTCTAGCTAAAAAATGTCACCCTTTTCTATTTAGGAGCCTAAAAGTGGTGTTTTAGGCACTTTTGAAAATTTACCCCTTTAGGCACCTTTGACAAGTTTATTTTGCAATTGAAGAATTAGCATCATCCAGAACACCCTCTAGAGTAGATTCATTTTATGGGTGACATGGCCAAAATTATTATTTTTAACGTTTACCTTTTGCCTTTGTTACTAGTAAATTATATTATTAAAGCTGAAAGGTTTTAAGATCTAATTTACTTTTCATCACTTCTGTGGATTGTGTACTGTTTGTTTACGTTTTGCACTTCTCACTTAGCTTGGACAATAAAGCTAGATTGGTCAATGTCACTTTCTGTTTGTGGTCAATGTCACTTGCCATTTCTCCTTCCACTAGCCCAGTGCTATGCCAGATCTGTTTACTTGAATTACAAAAATACTTGCCTACCGTACAGGGAGTGTGAAGGCTAATTGGAGCCAAATTCTGCCCTTAATACAAGGGTACAATTCTCCCTGTAAGGGCTTGGTGCTGCTGGGGAGAGGGGAGAAAGCATACAGCAGCTTGTGGGGGTGTTACCCGAGGTTTTCAGAACCCCCAGCAGGGGCAACGTAACTATTTCACTCTAGGTGGGTCAGGAATAAATCAATACGAACAGAGCTATTCTGCCTGATCAAGGATTAAATGCAAGTAAGGGGGCTCTTGTCTAACACTGCAGTTTATTAGATGTAAGCACACGCAGACATAAGCAATAGGTTTAGAACATACCAGATGTTTACCTAACATCTGGAATAGTATTGAGTAATTAACAGCAGGTTCGTGGTGGCCAGTTGCTCACCTGCTGGGGAGAAAAGGTGTTAGGAAAAACGTCTCTCAAGATGGCTTCAGAGGACCGCTCCAAAGTACACTCTATTTGCTAATCTTTTATAACTAACGTCTACAAAACATATAGGTCATAATGACCCCTACTGTATCATCACTTTTCTAATTTTCAATAAACTTTTAATATCAACGGCATCTAGATTCAAGGTTTTCCAGCCACCGAGGTTTTCAGACTCAGTTGTTTATTTGTCTGTCCCCTTCTCCCATTCTGATTAGCAGAAACTGTAGCTAGTTTTGACCTTGGTTCTGAAAGCCTGTCTCCAAATTAACCCTTAACTATGTGGTGGGGTCTATTTTATTAATTCAGGGTGGCTAAATGCACATAATATGGTTGCACGTAGCTTGATCACATTCTGGGATATATACACGCCTCAAATCCAGGGCTACAGGGGCCAGAGGGTGGGCCACTTGTTGAGACCAAGGAATACCACTTACAATTTCTTAGAGCTAGAAGTCAGAATTCCAGGGCGGTAACTGCCAGAATCACTCTTCTTTTCTTTTTAGCAGATTGGTACCATGTTTGCCTCCTTTTCCCATCCCGCTCTCCCCACCCGGTCCTTTGGTAGCCAGTTCTCCAGGGCTTTCCAAAAACAATTGTCACTTGGTGGTAATAATCTAATGTTCAACAACTACCAACAATGACATTGGCCTTGCAGGTTCTGTATCTCGGGATACAGTTATTCGTTACCTTGTCAATAGGAAGAACCTTTGGGGTATTAAAATATCAGCTTATGGCAGGCAACCTACCAAAGTGAGATTTGAAAAAAGAATTGTTTTGGTGACAGTTGGACAGGTTGCTTTTGTGTTTTACTCAAGGTTGGCGTTAGAGCCCAGGTTTATTTCAGGCAGTTCACTACAGGCTGATTGTGCAGTGGTATGAGCGCTTCTCCTAGGAGGTCCTGAGCACAGTCAATGTAGGACGGGGCGCCCCATTGAAGTGTTGGTGCACATGTGTACCCGTGATCTCTGCTGGAGTAAGAAAGACTTGGTACAGTTGTCAGCAGTGCCTCTTCTCACGGAGATGCTTTGCTTACACAGAAACGGAAACTGACGTAGGCTGCAGGATTCAATGTCCTGAGCTGGATACAGCATATCTTTGAGTTGTATTATGCATGAAATAATTAAACAAGGTGGTCTCCATGGGGCATTTATAGTCACCAGGTTTTACCCCCAGCATTGTTTAAGATGAAACCAGTTGGAGGAAGATCCAGACTGTCCTGAGGAAGAAGGAGGTAGAGTGCCCTCCCATCAGGGTTTCTTTGTCAAGCCTGGACACGTGGGGCCTGATTCTGATTTCATTAAAACAACCGTCATTGAGGAGTAACTCTCCTGAAGTCAATGGTGTTATACTAGTGTAAAATAAGTGTAAGATTAGCATCAGGCCTGAGGATCACAGCTGTAGCCTTGTACCCCTGTCTGCATGCCTTTGGTGAATGTGGCCAAGGGTGATTTTGATGCCAAACTCACATTTCTCTTCACTTAATTTCAGGAGCATCAGAGGAGATGACCCTTTGGAAGAACCTTCCATACATAATCATCAGCCTGATATTGGGAGTTCTGCTCCTAGTGTGTTTCATAGTCTGGATCCTCAGGAGAAAGGTAACCGGAAGTTAGTCCCAATAAGGTCACCAGCTCCCCTTCCACTCATCCCATTACTTTTCTTAGCTATTGAATCTTTAATTACATTGACTGGATTAAACACAAAGATGCAGAGTAACTTTGATGGGAAACATGGCATCTAAGTGGACAGATCTCTGCTGTCCCCAACTCCAGCATTCACTTAGAGTTGCTCATTGTGCTTCCTAGTGTATTGACCTTAAACTGGCTCTGCTGCCCACAGCCTCAGGAACTCACTTGATTTGGCTGAATTTTGAGCATCTGCTGAAAAATCCCCACCGCATGGCCAAGAAATCATCTCAGCCCCTGTGCCCTAGTAACTCAGCACCCAGCTCAGACTGAGGGCTTTGCTATGGCCCCTAATTCCCTCCCCAGTGAGTGTAAGGGCTCTGCTGACCACGCTAATACACCTGGGCTGAGTGTGAGGGAATTTTCATATCACCCATCCTGTGGCTGACTATGATGGAATATCTGGGGTCCCTCCTCATTCCCCTAGCTGAGGGTGAAGGCACAGTTCATGTTTCCCCATCTGGGCTGAATGCATCTCAGCATCCCCCCTTAGATGAGTGTGAGAGACCTTTTCAGAGTCAACAGAGAACGGGGTGTATATTTGGGCCCCCTTTCTTTCAGACTGCTTGCTGAGAGCATATTTCAGGCTCCCCTGAAGTGTGACAGTGTGTCTCAGTAATCACCCCTCTTTCATTTCACTAGCTACTATGTGGAGACCTCTCAACTACTGCAGGAATGGTCTGAATGTGAGGGTCCATTTCAGACCCCATGCCCATCCCACTGGCTAAGATTGGGGTCCCCAGCTAGGTGTGAGGGCATGTCAGATGGGGGCCCCAATCTGTCAGCTGTCAAATATGTGGGCACATCTCATGGGCCCTGTCAAGGCTCCTTCCCCACTCTGAACTTTAGGGTACAGATGTGGGGGCCTGCATGAAAACTTCTAAGCTTAACTACCAGCTTAGATCTGGTCCGCTGCCACCACTCCCAATGGGCTAACTCCCTTCCCTGGGTAGCCTGGAGAGATTCTTCCACCAACTCCCTGGTGAACACAGATCCAACCCCTTGGATCTTAAAACAAGGAGAAATTAACCATCCCCCCTCCTTTCTCCCACCAACTCCTGGTGGATCCAGACCCAATCCCCTTGGATCTAAAAACAAGGAAAAATCAATCAGGTTATTAAAAAAGGCTTTTAATTAAAGAAAAAGGTCAACACCATCTCTGTAAAATCAGGATGGAAAATAACTTTACAGGGTAATCAAACGTAAAGAGCCCAGAGGACCCCCCTCTAGCCTTAGGTTCAAAGTACAGCAAACAGAGGTAAACACCCTAGCAAAAGGTACATTTACAAGTTGAGAAAACAAAGATAAAACTAACACGCCTTGCCTGGCTGTACTTACAAGTTTGAAATATGAGAGACTTGTTCAGAAAGATTTGGAGAGCATGGATTGATGTCTGGTCCCTCTTAGTCCCAAGAGCGAACTCCCACCAAAACAAAGAGCACAAACAAAAGTCTTCCCCCCACCAAGATTTGAAAGTATCCTTATTGGTCCTTTGGGTCAGGTGTCAGCCAGGTTACCTGAGCTTCTTAACCCTTTACAGGTAAAAGGATTTTGGTGTCTCTGGCCAGGAGGGATTTTATAGTATTGTACACAGGAGGGCTGTTACCCTTCCCTTTATAGTTATGACAGGCGCGTACCTGCTTCACTGGACAAGGGGGCTGGTGGATGATGGGAGGGGTTTTATTCCATACTGGCTGAGGGCTGGATTCATGGAGGACCCTACGCCACACCAGTCAAGGGTGAGGTTGCTTCTCAGGGGGCCTCCACCAGTGTAAGGGCACATCTCAGGCCCCCTTCATACCCAACCTTCTCAACCCCTCCATAACCCACCCTCCTCTCTCTCTCTCCCCTCTTAGGAAAGAGGTGGAAGGATGGTGGGAACCTGAGCAGCTGTTTAAATGTAAGGATGAGCCTGATCTCAACCTGTAGACAGCAATCCTGCCCAGACTCTGGGAAAATATGGATCTGAACAATGGCCCTTGGGGCTGTCTCTGATTTAAAATGATTGGAGGAAAAAAACCTTGTGGCTTTGTTTTGTAGAAACAAACTCAGAAGATCCATGTGCCACCCCATGTCCTGCAGAAGGCGCCCTCCAGCAGCAGCGGGGAGGACTGCAGCTCACCCAACCCCACCACAGGCAGCTCAGCAGAGGCCAGCGTGGCATCTGCCAGCAGCGTGGGAGCTCAGGAGGAGTCTGATGATGGTCACGACTATTTCAACGTCCTGCGATACAAAAGCCACAGCAGCAGTAGCACTGTGGTACAAATGGGGTAGCTGGGTGGGGAGGAGGGAGTTTTGGCCTTGGGGAAGCACAGCGATCCTGCATCAGATCTTTTGTTAAAACCTTTCTGCTTCCTCCTATCAAGTCCCATAAAACGGTCTGGAGGTTGGCTGGTCAAGAGAAAGGGTGTGTGTGGTGGTGGTGGTGGAAGGGAGAAGTACACAGCATTGATGTAGACAGGCTCAGGGTGTTTGCACTGGATGAATCAAGAGATTGGGAAGGGCCTTTACCTTCTAGGGTTTTGTTCAAAATCCCATCCAGGCTGGTAGTGACAAGATGTTGTTACTAACTGAAGGGCTGCGTGGAGGTCTCAGGCCAGTTTCCTAGGGGTACCAGTGATCACATCACAACTTGGGGAAGAAAACTGGTTCAGTAGAGAAGCAAGGTAATGACTGAGCCATGGACATTGCCTTCTCCTCTCATCTCTGGAGATGGTCTCTCAAGAGCAGGGCTGAGGAACACTAACTGGGGGGGCTATGTGTGGGAATGGTGCCAACCCACCTGCTGCTGCCTGGACTGTACCTGATCTGATGGATGGATAGAGGACTTTAGTCTCCAGAGCTGTCAGTGCAGCAGCACCATTCACAGAATTTAAGCATGAAAATGGCTGTCGGGCACCCAGTTGCCACTCACTTTGCATATGGGACCTGCTGGATAATGGGAAGCAGTCTTTTGATCCCACAGGACCCTGCTGGTTAACAACATGCCTTGGGGTTGCAATCCTCAGGCTGAGAACCACTGGAATACGTCCTTGGATTGTTAATATGGCCTCGGGGTGCAGTTTTGGTGAGTTTACCTTGTTTTGAGAAGAGTGCCTCCTGGTTGTAGCATGAGAAAAAAATTCTAGATTCCCGTTAAAAGGCTCTTTCAACCCCTGCTATGGAAATGATTATCCAATGTGTTTCTATGACCCCCATCTTTTAGCAATGATGTTGCTTTGCCAGGACTGTGGGGATGATTCTTATGCATCCCATTGGGGGAGGATCTCATTTTCAGGCTTATGACAAATGGAAGATATCTTGTCTTGAACTTCTAATCTTTTAGGGCAAAACCAACAGCCTTGAGGAAGGAGGGTGGGGATGGGGGTGTGTTTCCTAACTTTCACAAGAGGACACCTAAATTAGGATACCTTGTTTATGCATTTGGACTCAATCCAAGTGCAGAACTGGGTGCCCTAAATTAAGCCTCCCCATTTGAAAAGTGTGCTCCAGAGGTGAAACTGTGGTCCCGTTGAGTCACTGGGAGTTTTGTTGTTAGTTTCAGTGGGACCAGGATTTGGCCAAGGATGTGAAAGAAAAATCAAAACTAGTAATTGAGTTTGGGGAGGAGGGATGGGTTAGGATACGTAGGGCACCTGCCTTCTCAACTCTTGCTTGGCCTTCCAATGGCATCTCCAGCCTGGCAAGGCTTGTGCTCTGGCTTGAAATCCTATAACTTCCAGCAGCCATTGCTGCCTTTTTACCAATGGAGTCTTGGATTCAAGCTTGACTTAGGTCACCAATGAGAGAGTTTGGTGACCTTTGCCTTATCTTAAGAGGAGGTTTATGCAAATCACTGAACCAAGATATTGCAGCTCAGGACTGAAATAGAGAAGCTGAATTGTACAGGGGGTGTACAGTAGTAAAGATATTGCAGGTTAAGACTGAGCTGCACTAGCTGACCTGTAAGGGGTCCCAGGACAGGACTCGCAGGGGCACTGCAGATCAGGATGGAAGGGCATTGGCAGAGCTGTGTGTGAGGAGCCAAGGACTGGAATAGCAAGGGAGGGATGCAGGGCAGGTTACGTACAGTCTGCTGTTGTAATGGGATTTTTAAAATATTATTTGACCAAAAAGCTTCTATTTGTAAGAAGTCTCCTTTTTGCCATATTTTGTGATATTATGCTTCCATTCAGCGAGTTCTCTGTGTTACAGGGTCCTCTGGAGAAGTTTAGCCCCAGAGTCAAATGTTGCAATATAGTCATACAGTGAGTGCGCCAATGTGGTTCTGTCCTATCAACTGCAGGATTGTGTCTTTACATGCAACCTTGTATATTCTAGGAGGAAAATAAACCCACAGACACCTGCCAAGTTTTTTACTTTTTTTTTTAATTATTCCTTCATATTCAAACTTCACAAACAGTGTGAACTTGTACAATACCTCAGAAAGTGAAACTTACAAAAAAAGTGCTGGTAACATTAAAAAAAACCCAAAAAACAAACAAACAAACAAAAAAACAAAAACAAAAAAACAAACATCATTCTTAGCAACATCAATTACTCTTCCACACAAAACAGAAACCTTGTAAAATTTATTTCCGTATTTTTAAGGCGTAATACTTCCGTATAAAGTATATGCAAGAGATAAAACTTCACAGTATTCCAAAATGTCACAATAATAATAATAATAATATAGTATAATGAAGCGCTAGTTAATTTTCTTTTTTTTCTTTTTTTTTCTGTTTTAAATAACAAATACAAGTCACAGGTAAATATACGTGAGAAAAATACGAGGCTAATATTAAATGGCAGGTAAGGATACTCTCACTGTAAGAAAAAACTGGCAGGATGTGTGTATTTATTCTATATTTTAAAGCACTTGATAGAAAAGGCGTATGCAAGGGTTTTTTTAAAACAATTTTCTGTTTGCTTGTTTAATAACTGACATACCATTTACAGAGTATAATAAGAGAAACAAAAGGAACTCATAATCCCTCTAAACTTTTGACCTGCTCTTCATATCTTCACAAACCATATCTCTAGAGATATCTGTGTAGCAGTGTGTGTGAGTGTATAAAAACACACACAGCCACAACAACGCACATTGGTAGAGGCAAAGACCTGTCTCCTGAGAAGCAGCTTTGCCTGCTGGGGACCAAATCATGAAGTCTTTATTCTGGCATAACTGCCACTGAAAGCAGTGGGCGGGGAGGCTGCCTGCCCAAAGACTGCAGGATTTAGGCCTGAATGCAGTTTCCCATTCACTCAGCTTTGAATGATTGTTGGGAATTTCTTTGTTCCCAATAAGGAAATGTCCCCTCCCTCAGCCATTTATGAATTTTTAACTTTGTCCGCCAAAAAGGGCAGAGACCGGTTAAGAAATTTCCCTCTAAATTCAAACCAATCCGATGAGGAACGGGAACATAGATGGAGCATCACACACACACACACACACACAAAGATATCACAGCGGGGTGTGCGTGCATGTGGGTGCACATGTAGCATTTCATAGAAAGGTCTGTGTGTATGTGGAATGCACTAGGTGCACACACAGCCATCCTTTCGCCCCTGCATATGTGTGTACATGTTAACAGCCAGCCATTCAGCCAACAGGTAACAAAAAGACAGCAGATAGCATAACACATCAATAAGGTGCTCAAAGAAAAAAGGTGGCTACCACTCCTGGAATGGGAAGCCACATTAAGGTGCTTCAAAAAAGTTTTTTTTTCTTTCTATTTTTTTTTTGTTTCAGACATTAAAAAAGTACTGATTTTGCATGTGCTGATTGAGCGCAAGGCCAAGAGTTTTGAGATCTGACATCTTCCATAAACAAGGGCTTTTTCAGGACAGGGTTTGTTTTTGTGGGAGGATCATCTATTTTTGCAGATTAGTTAAAAAACAAAAACAAAAAACCCCCAAACAACCAAGCTGAGAATTGGTGTAGCACTTTAATTGCATTATTGGACTGAGAGGGTTTTTGCCCATTCATTCAGTTGCCTTCAGTTAGCACCGTTCCTTTTTATTCTGGTTACAACCCACACCTACTATAGTTATTGAACGTACAGAAAGAACCAAAGTCACTTGGCAAGTAGCTGTTTTCATTTTTTGTGATGTGTTTCAAGAGCCCAACCGTAATTCCTCTGCTGCCTTTGTGTTTGTGTAGCATCTGGTTTTGTGAGCTTAACTATAGACAGACTCACTACTTAAGCTTTGTGTGTCTCGTGATGTGTATATGGATATGGGTATGTGTGTGTGTATACACACGTCTATCCATACACACACCACAGAGTATATTTTAACTGGAGATAAAGTGAACTGGGTTCAGACACTCATGCACTATCTTCCTCCTGTGTATTTGAAACAGTCTGGAGCATTGATTTTTTTTTTAAAGTGCATTTAAAGCAAAATAAATGGCATTCACGTACCCCATGGAAAACACTTACAGTAGTGGAAAAAGCCTGACTCATCTAAACCTCCTTGGACTTGACAATGCCAACAACAAATGGGGCTATGCATGACAGGCCTCTGGTTGGGCAGCTATTCTTGGGCAAACTGGACTCTGGCAGTATAGCAGCACCATTGGCAGGGAGCGGGGAGGAGAGGAGGAAGAAATATTGCTCAAATTTGGAATGTTTGAAATTTTCCAGATTTCAAGGTGATTGTATCAGTCCCACGATGGCTTCAGTTATTTTTGCTAATGACCTCGACCCTTCCTGTGTGTGGCTCTGAGGTACACTTTGACTCTTCCCTCAGTTTGTGTTGTTTTTGAGGCTGAACTTGTGTGTGTATGGGAAGGGGGTTTGTGTTTGAGTGCCAGCATCTATTAGGAATAAGGCACTGTAGAAGTCACAACTTTACAAAAGCTGGAGGGGGGGGGGGGGGGGGACGACTACCCAGCCAGCCAACCAATCAATTTCCCACAATACTCTCCTCCCCTCATCAAAATATTGCATGTGATACAGGTTATTCTTGTGTACATTAACTGTGTTAAATCCAGGTCTTGGAAAAGAGTTTTAACCCAGTCAGCACCAAAGACCTCTAGGAATGCACCCTTTGTCTCCACACCCACCCACTCAATACATGCAATAATGTGGGGAATAAATTCCCTCCCCCCAGAGCTTAACATTCAAGTAGAAATTTCGAGTCCTTGTCCAAGGTTAGCAACTATTTATATATATGATGTTCCAAATAATTTCATGATGTTGAGAAATTTTTCGTATCTTTCTTTGTGTTATTTGCTATTGATTAGAACAACATTGTGGGAAATTTGGGTTTAAAATCCCTCCCCTTTCTTG